TCCCATACCATAAAATTCACCATTTTAATGTGTACAATTCAGTGGTTTCTAGCACATTTGTAAAGCTGTACAACTATCATCAAAGCTGAACGTTCAAGAACGTCTTCATCATCCTCAAACGAAAGCCTGCACCCATTAGCAATCATTCCCCACCTTCCCTTACCCCCTAGCCCCAGCAACCACTAAGCCATTTTCTGCTTCTAGGGGCTTACCTCTTCTGAGCCTCTCGTAAGAAGGAAATCAGTCATTAAGTGGCCTTCCCTGTTTGGCTTCGTTCCCTGAGCATGTTTCCAAGGCCCATCCAAGTTGCAGCATGTAGCAGTACCTTATCCCTTTTTACAGCTGAATAATATTCCATTGCATGGCCGTCATGTGGCTCATACACTCACCCATCGACGGCTTTCAGGTCGTCTCCACTTTTTGGATGTCATGAGTATTGCTGCAGTGAACATTCATGTACAAGTTTTTGTGTGAACTGTTTTCAAGTCTCTCCGATATATACCTGGGAGTGGGATTGCTGGGTCCTCCGCTAGCTCTACACGTCTCACTTTCCCAGGAACCTCCAGTCTCTTCCCACAGCACTGCACCATTTACATTGCCCCCAGCAGTGTGTGAGGGTTTCTTGTCTCTCTTGAAACAACTGAAGATCTGGCCATACTACGCCCACATTCCCACGTGGAGCTGGATCAGGGCACGTGGGTTCTCCAGTCACCAGGTTGTCACCGTGCATACTGTGGGCACAAGCATTTACCCCCTTGCCACCAGCCCTTCACACTTCAAGCATTTTCCTTACCTGCCAGGCCCCAGAGGACACCCCGGACTCTGTAGTAAGAAGGGTAACAGTGGAGGTGATTTTGTTGACCAAGAACCAATTTTCCAAAAGCCAAGTAAAAAAGGTTTGGGAAGGTGGAGAGCAGAGGGGACAAGAGGAATTACATACAGAACAGCGCAGAGAAAAGAGATGACCAAGGGAGCTGATACTTTGGGCAGTGGCCACGGACAGTAGGTATGGCAGGATGGGCATCCTTGCCTGGGCCTCTGGGCAGAGAGCCAGGCAGCTGCCGTAGCGTCCTGGTGACCCAGTGGCTCAAGGGGGAGTTTGCCTCAATCTAGATTACCACTGTCCAATAAAGATAGATTATGAGCCATATACATTATCAAACTGTTTTTACCTTTGCTAGTCATTGTTATCTCAATTGCCAAGACCAAATACCATTGCCAATCAACGGTATCTCAGCATGGTTTTAATTTAAGTGAGGTTAAGCATTTTTTAACAGACATAAAAGCCATGTTAATTTCCTTGTCTGTGAGTCCTTTGTTCATATCCCATGACTGCTTTTTTATGGGATTTTAGTCTTTTGCACTTTGATTCACAGGAGTCCTTTTGATGCTATGGAAAGTTGCATCTCATATGTGCTGCATATATTATTGTTCTACTTATTGTCTTTTGACTTTGTTATTTTTTTTGGTGGAAAATTTTTAAAAATTTATTGTGGTCAAAGTTGATGACTTCTGAGTTTTGAGTTATACTTAAGTAGACCCATCTCACTGCAAGATGAGAAAGTCTTTAATCTGGTACTTTTATGGTTTCATATTTTAAGATTTATATCTCTGAGCCATTTGAAGCTTATTATAGTATAAGTAATGCAGGAAAGATACAAATGCATTTGTTTCCAGATGGCTACTCAATATTCCCAGAACACGTTTCTACATCATCTACTATTTCCTGTGTGCTTTGGGGTCTGTTTCTAGACTTTCTATTCTATTCTATTGATCTGCCTATTCATGCAAACAGAAAGTGTTTCAATTGCCTTAGTTTTACATTATGTTTAATAGTTGGTTGGGCTAGACCCCCTTCTTACTCTTCTTTTTTAAGAATTTTCTTAAAAACCAAACTTTTCTGTTTCTTTTGGTGAGCCCATATTAAATTTATAAATTAATTGAGAAAGAATTGACATCTTTCTAATATTGATTTTATTTCTTTTCTTACACAGCGCTAGCATACTGTATGATCTTTTCTGTCCTTGCTATTTTTTTTATGAAACAACATGTCCTGGAAATCTTTCTGTTCCACTTCATAGAGATTCCTTGTTCTTTTGTATAGCTACCTAATACTCCGTTGGTAAGTGTCAGTGGGCTTCATTGGTCCCCGATAGATGAAAACTTATCTTTGGAATCTTTTTGCACGATAGACATGATTCATTTTGTGTGCACACACCACTCCACCTGAGGGACTTTGTGGGGGCAGGAACAACTTCACCCCATATTCACATGGCTTACCCCCTTACCCCCTTCCTTCTCTTGGTGGCCCATGCTAACCACCAGTGTTCCCAATATCCCTATTCTGCTCAGTATTTTTCTGACAGCAGTCATCACCTTCTAACATACTTACTTTAAAGTTATGTTTATTGTCTGTTTCCTACGACCAGATCATAAGGTTTTTTTTTTAAGGTTTTGGTTTTGGTTTGGTTTTGTCCAATTTGTTTATTCATTTGTATTCTTCAGACCCAGAAAGCTATCTGATACTGAATGAGCAAACCTTCAGTCAATAACTGCTGAATGAATGAATGGCTAGATGAATGAATGAGTGAATGAATATTAAGTATATTGGTAAGATAAATCCCCAAGAACTGAGATTTCTGGGTCAAAATGTAAATCTTCCACTACATTTTCAAACTAATCTTTTTTATATTTAGTAAGGCTATTGATTTTTGCGTATTAAATTTGTACTTACGCTACTTACTGAACTCTCTGTAGTGCTACAGTTTTTAAGTTAAGTTTCTTAGGTTTCCTAAGATATAATTGTATCAAAGCAGCTGTGAATAATTTTATCTCCTCTTTTTCAATGTTTATTCCTTTTTTTTGTTGTTCATTTGTTTAATTACATTGGTAAGTGCCTCTGGAACAATTTTAAATTAAAGTGATGGGAGGAGATACCATGTTTTGTCCTGACTTTACTGAGAATGCTATCAATATTCTAGCATTTTAGGCTTACAAATTAGCTTTTTAGTTTGAGGTGTGTGTGTGTGCATGTGTGTATAATTGTATTTTAAGGACACATTCTTCCCTTCCTATTGTTGGGGAATTTTTTTTTAATCAGGCATGGCTTTTAAATCTCATCAAATACTTTTTCAGCATTATGTAATAGTCATGCAATTATCTCCAATGGTTTATCAATATGGTAAATAATATTAATGGTATTCCTAATACTGAACCATCCCATATTCCCTGTATGGCCCTACCTGGTTGTGGTCTATAATGCTTTTTATGTGCTGCTGGATTTTATTTGCTAATATTTGGTTTACATTTTGCTGTTATATTCATAATGAGACCAGTCTGTAGTGTTCCTCTTTTGTGCTTCCTTGACAGATTTGAGTATTGATATTCATAAAATTGATATTTATCAATATTCATAAAAGGAATTTGGAAGAATTGACATGGCATAGTGGTTAGGAGAGTGAATTCGGGAACTAAACTCACCAGGCTCCAATTTGGATCTGCCCCTTCCTGGTTGTGTGGCCCTGGACAAGTTATCTAACTGCCTGAGTTTTTTTCATTTCTAAAATGGGGACAATAATTACACAGGACTATTGTGTGAGTTAAATGAACACTTAGAATTGCATCTGCCACATAGGGACTGAGTAAATGCAGGGTTTTATTATTATTGTTGTGGTGGTTGTTATTTCTACCATCTTGAACCATTGGAATGGCATTTTTATTCATCACTCCTTAAAGTGTTGATTGAATGCACCCGAGGACTTGTCTGGACCTGTGCTGCTGCTTTTTCTCCCCTTGTGGGTGGGAGAGTAACTCTTTGATGACACTGTCTTACATGATATTTGGTCCGTTTAGAATTTCCTTATCTTCTGAGAAGTGACTGGTGGTTACCATGGGGGTGGTATTAGGGTGGGTGGGTGGGGAGGGTGGTGGGGATAAAGCGGCACAAAAATTCTCAATCATAGTATAAGTTGGCACAGGGACAGTAGTACAGCATGGAGAACATAGCCAGTGATTCTGTAACATCTTCCTATGTTGACAGATAGTAACCACACTAGACGGGGTAAGGATTTAATAATACGGGGAACTGCTGAACCACTGTGTTGTATACTTGAAACTAATATAAGCTTGTATATCAATGACATTTGAATTTTTTAAAAAAGAAAAAAATAATTTCCTTGTCTTTAGGATCAACTTGAGTTATTTATGGTTTCCTAGAAAATTGTCCAGTGAGTTCAGGCATTCTCATATATTTGAATAATCATGACAATTCTTTCTTTTTTTCTTTTGTTTTGTTTTGTTTTAGATTTTCCATGATATATTTTTTGGTAATAAGGTTTTTTTTTAATTTTGGTATCATTAATGTAAAATCACATGGGCAACATTGTGGTTACTAGATTCCTCCCATTATCAAGTCCCCCCCACATACCCTATTACAGTCACTGTCCATCAGCGTAGTAAGATGCTATGAGTCAATACTTGTCTTCTCTGTGCTATGCTGCCTTTCCCGTGCCCCCCCCACTATGTTATGTGTGCTAATTGTAATGCCCCTTAATCCCCTTATCCCTCCCTTCCCACCCACCCTCTCCAGTCCCTTTCTCTTTGGTAACTGTTAGTCCATTCTTGGGTTCTGTGAGTCTGCCTTTGTTTTGTTTCTTCAGTTTTTGCTTTGTTTTTATGCTCCACAGATGAATCATTTGGTGCTTGTCTTTCTACACTTGGCTTATATAGCATAATACCCTCTAGCTCCATCCATGTTGTTGCAGATGGTAGGATTTGTTTTCTTCTTATGGCTGAATAATATTCCATTGTGTATACATACCACATCTTCTTTATCCATTCATCTACTGATGGACACTTAGGTTGCTTCCATTTCTTGGCTATTGTAAATAGAGCTGTGATAAACATAGGGGTGCATCTGTCTTTTTGATGACAATTCTTTCTTATATAAAATTCTCTTTTTATTTAAAAAAATAGTTTTTTATAGCTATGGTTATTTCCTCATTCTCATTTCTTATTTTGTTTGGAATAGTCCTAAGAGTTATTTTCAATATTTCAAGAAGTCCAAACCCTACAGACTTGTATTACTTAGCAAAACTGTCACGCACCCTGCTTTGGGTTAAAATGCGCTCAACCCACTGGGGTAATGGTGGTTATCTCTGCTGATCCAAAGCTCTGGTGGTGGATGTCCATCAGAAGGCAGATGTCCTCAATAGATATCATTTTTTAAACCATGGATCTGTGGTGAAGGTGACAGCGCTGGGGTTAACAAACAAAAGGTGCTTGGTCAATATGATGATCAATAACAATAAAGGTACATTAGGAAAGTTCTCCTGCTAGCTCTTTGCTGCTTTGTGTCAACCCTTGTCAGCTTGGACAGAAAAGCCTTAACTGGTTTGGCAGAGAAGGGTTCACTGGTTTTGTCCTGGAATGCCTGCAGCTGCAATTACCAGAAGTTCTAAAAGTTCTGTTACCATGACAACTATATGAGAGCCCCAGAGGTCTGTTAACTTTGGACAGGGTGAATCTGGGTGGAAGTGTGGGAGAGTGGAAAGAGCTTGGTTTGACTCATCCATTCATTCTCTTGGCACTGAGGATACACTTGTGAACCAGACAGATAAAGGCCCAGTAATAATTACGGATTCTAAGAGTGTGGTAGGCCTCTATTCAACTGCTAGGTCTGCCTCTTGAGAGCTGTGCAATATTGGCCTGGTTACTCAGCCTCTCTGAATCTCATCTGCAGAATGGAGCTACAAACACCTACTTTCAATTGAGATGGTGTCCGTGAGGCTCCTGGACACAGAGTAGGTGCTATATAAATGCTGGTTCGCTTCCTCCTAGTCCCAGCTCAGCCGTTTACTGGCTGTGTGACTTGGGAGAAGCTTTTTGTCTTGCAGCTCGCATTTCCTCATAGATGATCTCCAAACTCCCCTCTGTCTCTGGCAGCCTTGGACCCTACCTGAAGGGCTGAATATGGAGCTCTGAGAAGCCAGGGAGGCTGCTCCTGTTTCCTCCTCCCCAAGCAGAACAAACCCAGAAGCACTCTGGTTCCCTCTGAAGAGAGCAACCCCCAGCCACAGGTTTTCCAGGGCAGGGCTGATTTCAGATGCGAATCCCATGCTTGTCAGACCAGATTTCCCGGTTTAGGGTTTGGAAAATCCAGTTGCCCTCAACTGACCTGACCTTGCGGGGGACACATCCGTTCGCTATTCTGGGCTATACTCTGCTGGAAGTGGGACAGAGAGCCCGTCAGCGTCCTGCACAAGCCACAGACGGCTGGGCTTCACGGAGAACAGCAATGGAAGTCACCGCGCGCGCAGGGGGCCCCGGGGCCTGGCACTGAGGTGTTCACAGAGGGCTTTTTTAAACTGAGGTAAAGTCCATATATCATAAAGTTGACTATTTTAAAGTGTACAATTCTATGGTATTTAGTGCACATTCAGTGCATTGTCAGCACATCCAGAATCTGACTACCCCTCGCCGCCGCCCCCACTCACAGCTCTGGGGCCTCTGCACGTGTTCTTCCGCCTCTCACTTGCCCCTTTCCGTCTGCGCTCGCCCCGGTAATGCAGGCACCCTAACATGTAGGTCGGATCCTGCCGCTCTTCTGCTCAAAGCCCGGCACTAGCCCCTCTCCTCTTGGGTAAAAGCCAGGTTCACAAGGGCGGGCAAAGCCCAGCGGCACATTCCCCTCGGCTGCCAGGCATGTGTGCCTGCGGAGCGGTGGAGCCTGTGCCTATCCCAGTGCCTTCTGGAATACTGGCCCGTCTGTCTCCCTCACTTCCAGTCTTTGCTCAGTGCCACCTTCTTCATGAAGCCTACTCTGCACCCTCTTTAAAATGACAATCCAACCCACCCAGATGAACTCCTCACCCCATCCTTCTCTGCTTTTTGTCCCCATGGCATTTATCACCTCCCAGCACGCTACTTCATTTATTTATCTGTTGTTTATTGTCTCCTCTGCCTGAATGCAAACCTCATGAGGCACGGGGTCTTGGTGTGTTTTGTTCATGATCTGGTGCAAGTGCCTAGAAAGTACCTGGCACATAGTAGGTCCTTGGTGGTATCTATTAAAGTCGTAAACCATATTAACAACAGTAATGACCATTTATTAAGCCTATCATGTGCCATATGCTTTACAAACATGAAAATCTCATAAGCAAGATAGATGTCTTTGCTTCCATTTTACAGTTGAAGAACCTGAGACTCAGAACATTTAGGTGACTTGCCCTGAGTCACACAGAACATGGCAGGGAAAGGATTTGAACCCAAGATTGTCTGCTTGACTTTGGAACCCTTGGGCTCTTTCCTTCCTTGTTCTGTGGTGACTGCAACTGTATTTAACATGGTTCACTCATTCATTCATTAATTCAGTAAATATTTCCCAAGCCTCTTCTGTCTCTCTCCAACCAAAATGCCAGGCCCCATACCGCAGACTTGGGACCCTCAGATAGATGGGTCACGGATCCTGCCGGGAAGGGCTCAGCTTCCACAGCCTGAGCAACATGTGTCCTCAGGGGCTTTGTAAACTAACCAAGGGGCCTCCGTCTGCCCAGCACCTCCTCATCTGAACCAGTGTCTGTCATTTATAGCAGAAAGAAAAATAGCTCCCATGCCATCACCTGTGGCCATCAGACTGAGCGAGGTCAAAGGTGCTCGCTCACCCCACAGCATCCTGTACCTCACCAGGTAAACAAGCCCCAGGGAGGGAGGCTGGAGGTGTGGGCGTGGCCTGGGGCCAACCAGACCAGGGCCAGGCTGAGAGGCGGGAAGATGAGGAGGAAGTGTGGGCGGAGGGGAATGCTCGTCTGGAGCAATCATGATTGCCAAATGGGGAGGATGCCAGCCCCAGACAGGCTCCTCTCAACCCCAGGGACTCACTGAGCACAGCCAGTGGGGGATGAAGGGGCCTCTCGCACTGCTTGCTTTCCTCTCCTGGCCCTGAGCCAAACACACTGCCCCTTGTCCCGGCTTCCCCGCTGCGCTTCACCCACTCACCCTGGCCCCTCTGTGTCCCCAGGAAAGGGAGGCCAACTAATCCGCAACTGCCTTGGTGCTCCATTTTTTAAAAAGTCTCCAAGGAGTTTGGACGTGGGTTTGGGGTTGGGTTAGCACACGCCCCTTGGCCATGCGCTCTGGATGGCTTTTCTTTCCTGTTTCATTTAGTCAATACACATTTATGAGAGCGTCCTCTGTGCCAGATTGCCTGCCAGGTGCTGGGGGCCCGAGGAGCCTGGGGTCTGCAGGGGAAGCTAGACAGGCGGCCAGAAACCACTGTGCAGCTGTGGGAGAGGTGGGGCTCTGGGGTCCCGAGAGGTCTCTGATGCCGCCTGGAAGGCAGGGACATGGCCCAGAGGAAGATGTGAGTGTCAATATGTAATGACAATCAAATGAGTCCCAGGCTCTGAAGTGGAGCTCATTAATAGAACTTAGTTTAGTAAGTGCCTGTGATACGTGGGACACTGTCGTTCAGAGGTGTGGAGGCTACTGCCTAGAATCAAGTCTAGGTCTCCCTTGGAAGGGAAGCCTGGGCAGCAGAGTAAATATTCTGCCCTTGAAACTGTTCAGCTGGGAGTTAGAAAGTGCACTCCCATTATACAGATGAGCAAAATGAGTCACAGAGGTGTGATTTGCTCACCCCCTAGATCACAGGCTGCCTTGAAGGCAGCAAATTGGGCTCAACATGGCATCCGCACCATCCAGGACCTAAAAGACTTCAAATTACCCAGTGGTAGGATCTTTACTGTAAGGGGCAATGTATTCTAGAAACATGTTGCTAAAAGGATGTATGTTGTATGATCCAAATTTTATAGAATATACAGGCACATACACATGTTTTTTAAAAGACTTAACTCTGGTACACTATGAAATGTTAATAGTTGTTATCCCTAAACTGTAGATTGCAAATGTTTTTAAAGACTTTATTATGTAGAATATATCAGACATACACTGAAAAATAGAATAGGAAAATGGACTTTCATCAGCCTAATAACCATCAACCCATGCCTGGCCATCCACACCCACACCTCCATGACATATTCTATGGAAGTAAATCCACACATCATGTCATTTCTTCTGTAAATATTTCAGTGTATCTCCCTCAAAATAAGACCTTTGATAATTTATATACACAGCCACAATATTATTACAACTAAAAAGACACAACTATTCCTCAGTATCAAATATCCAGTGTTCAAGTTTCCAGTAGTCTCATAAATGGACAGAGATGTTTTCCATTTTATAATTTTAAAAAAATCAGAATAAAAGTAAGGATTGCACTGTGCAATTAGTTGATATGTGATTTAGATCTCTTTTATCCCCAGTTTCTATTTTCTTTGCGAACACATCACTTGTCCTACCACCTGCCACAGTTTGGAGTTTGCTGATCACATCGGTATAATTCATTCAACAAGTTTCTCTGTCCTTTGTATTTTTATTTTATTTTATTTTATTTTATTATATTTTTTAAATTTTATTTTGGTATCATTAATCTACAATTACATGAAGGACATTATGTTTACTAGGCTTCCCCCTTCACCAAGTCCCCCCCCACATCCCCGTTCACAGTCACTGTCCATCAACATAGTAAGATGCTGTAAAATCACTACTTGTCTTCTCACGTCCTTTGTATTTCTTATAAATTGGTAGTTTAATCTATAGCCTGATTAGATTCAGATTGGAGTGTTTGGGCAAGATTAGTTCATAGGAGGTGTGTGATTTTATGAGGAGGCTGACATAAGCAGCCATCGCTCTTGAATGCTTAGGCCCCTTAGGTCGTGAAGGGATACAAGATGAAAACCTCTCATCTACGAGTCCGCTCACTCTCTCTTGCACTACAACACTTCTGTGAAGAGAAACTTCCCCTCATCACCCGCTTGGTTCCTCTGAGGCGCAGGCATAAAAGAGGAGCAGGACAAATGCTCCATTCTTGCCCTTTATTTACTGATCTTCAAAACAATGAGCTGCCTCTCCAGCACCCACCACACGTGGCAAATTAAGAATTTAAAAAATTATTCTTAGTGTTGTTGTAAACTCATGGATTCAAACCTTTCATGTGCCTTAGGCCATCGCAGCTATTCTTGCTGGCGTTGACGTTATTCAGTCTCCAGTCTCGCTACCTCTTCACACTGGCTCCCCAGGCCTTAGGTCCCTGCAGGTCGGGGTAGCACCTCTGGCAGCTGCTGCTTCAGGACATTCCGGAGTCCTGTGCTCTGGACCTGGAATCAGTCGTTCTGTAAGTAGCCTTGGTTCCTTTTGAAGAAGATGGTATTGAGAGATCACACACTGAGTGCTAGGGGTATGAGAGGCTTCTTACATTTTTTTTCTTTTTTTACTCTTTATTTTCAAGCAATTTCAGACTTACAGAAAAGTTGCAAAAATTAGCACAGAGTTCCCATATATCCTCTTGCCCAGCTTCCTCTCAGCCTAACGTCTTACAAAACCGTAGCACAATAATCAAAACCAAGAAAATAACATTGGCACAATACTACTAACTAAACTACAGACTTTATTCAGATTGCACCGATTTTTCCATTAATGTCCTTTCTCTTTTTTCCCTTTTCTAGAATAATCCATGATCCCACACTGAACTTACTGCTCATCTCTCCTTAGTGTCCTGTAATCCATAACATTCTTCAGTCGTCCCTTATCTTCCATGATCTTCATTCTTGTGAAGAGTACTATCCAATGCTGTGTAGAATGTCCTTCACTTTGGGTTTACTAACGATTGGATCGAGGTTATGCTTTCTGGGGAAGAATAACACAGAAGTAAGCCTCTGTGTACCAGGGGTAGATGATGCTGACGTCTTATTCCTGGGCTGTTAATCATTTGACTAAGATGGTGTCTGCCAGGTTTCTCTATTGTCCAATTATTTTCCCTTTGTCGTTAATAAATATCTAGGAGGAGATATTTTTAGACTATGCAAATACTCTGTTTTTCCTCAAAATTTGGCCACTAATTTTCACATCCATCTCTGGATCTTGCCTGCAATGAGTATTATTGTGCTGTTCTAATGGTGAGTTTCTATTTCCCTCATTCCCTCTGCATTTATTAATTGGAATCCTACTGGAAAAAAGAGCTTTTTCTTCCCCCTTCCCATTTATTTATAATTATTCAGTTATTCATTTATATCAATATGATGTGTAGGTATTTTATTCTATGGGTTATAATCCAGTACTGCTGCTAACATAATAGGCTTTGAATAAATGTTTCTGGAAGAAAGGGAGGCAAGCAGTGAAGGAGAAAAGAGAGGAGGAAGAAGAAAATGGAAGTGAACTTGTCTCTCTTATTCATTTATACTGAAAAAATCTTTATCGGAACACACTCTACAGGTCAGGTAAAGAATTCCATTCCAGCCAGGTGTGGTGGGTTTGGCTTTTCTATGTTGCAACCTGATTTACTGGGGGGCACCCCACTGGCTTGGAAGCCCCTGGAGGGCTTTTCAGAGTCTGGCATCTGTCTGCCCTTAGGACGCGGCCTGCCCAGGGCAGGGACAGTGAATGCTGGTTTTGAGTCAGATTCGGTCCCTCCTGAGCCCACATCCCTGCAAAGTCTTCCCATCTCACTCAGAGTAAAGGCCGCAGGCATTAGAAGGGTTTCAGGATCTACACATCTGGGGCACCTCTCCCTCCCCTCTGCTCTCTCCTCCCCTCTGCCCCTCACTAGCTCGCTCCCATCACGCCTGCTCCGCTTGGTGGAGGCGAGGGTCTTTGCACCGGTCTGGACCACTCCTCCCCTGGATGTCCATGTGACTCTTCAGGTCTTGAATGTGACCCTTCTCCACAAGAATCCCCTGACCACCCTACCCCAAACTGCTACCTCCCCTCGTACACTGCCCTCTTCTTTCCCTCTCCTCAGCATTATGTATATTTTCATATTTGTTTTGTTTTCATTTTCTCTCTCCTTTCACTGGAATCTAAGCCCCAGGAGATGCAGAGGTGCACTGTGTGACAATTGGAGGGGACCAACCACAGCACAGTGTAAAACCCCCGAGGAGTGGTCAGGGAGGGTCTCTCAGAAGGGGTGACCTTTAATCCAGAGCTACAGGTTATTTAGATATTAATGAGGTGAATGGAGGCCTGTTAGGGAGAGAGCTTTTTAGGAAACAGGAGAGAAAGCAGGTCACTCAAGACCGGGACATGGAATTACCTCAGCACCTTGACCAGTGTCTGTCCCGTGTCCCCTGGGTACCAGGCCACTCAGACACTGGAGCCACTCAGAGGGAGGGGACGGGCAAACAAAACACACAGTCCCTGGAGATGATGCCGCAGTAAACGAGTGAATGTCGAATTCCATGAACTCATTTAAACCTTAAATTTAAACCTAAATGTGAGGTTGCACTGTTTTTTATCCTCATTCTAAAGACGAAAAAAACCCTGAGACCTTAAATGTATGGGGTTGGGATCATGCTCCACAGGCCATCCTGAAACCTTCTTTTACTCAACTATGTTTTGGAGATTGTTTCTGGTGGTTATATATGGATGTAGCTCCTCCATTTTTCACTTGGTTGTAATGTTCCAATGTAGGACCACATATTTTTCTGCTCTCTACCTTCTATTAAATTATCCCCAGTGTTTTAGTGATTTAACATTTTAAAGCTCTATTCCATTATATATTAATCATCCAATTTACTTTGAAAAAATAAAAAGTCCAACTTCCCAAGTAATCAGGGAGGAGGTGGGAGACCCTTCCTGGAACCTCAGGTGCCCGGGATGGGTCAGGGAGAAGCAGCAAAGGAGAGAGACCTCTCACCAGCCTGAGAAAAGTGTTCTTTGCTGTAAATCTGACCTTTCTTCAGGGCTTAAAATTGTGCAGAGACTATAAATACTATAAAGACATCCAGCCCTCCCTTTTTACAAAGGAGACCAAGGCTGGATTGTGCTACTGGGTCGCAGGGCTCTCCTGCTCAGCCCGTGGCGGTGCAGCCAGATTGGAACTTGGACAGGTTTTTAGCCTCCTGCTGCCCTCAGTGGGCACTGCCTTCATGGCCTGCATGCAGGCTCCTGCCCTGTCCAGCCTTCAAGACTCTCCTCTCATCTCTCCGTGCTCCACTGGACGCCTCCCTGGCTCACCTTTGTCCTTCTGGGCCTTTTTGAGACACCTGAGTTCCCCACATCTTTACACTCAGCATAACTGGGCTTGACAACGGCTCGTTTCCTGTGCATTTCCTACTGGACCACAGGATCCAGGAGCCAGGAGCCAGGTCTGCTTTGCTCCTTGCTGAGTCCCCAGCTTCTGGCACAGCCTCCAGTTAAGCACAGAGGTTAAATAAATACTTGTTGAGCAAATGAATGTTTGTAGTGAGAGGATAATGAAGTTATTACAGGAGTCAAGGTGAAAATTAAAGTAGGTCTGTGCTGGGTCAGTGGTGGGAGGTGGGAGAGAGAAATGAGCCCAGATGGAAGAGGATTTGCAGAGATAGAATTTAGATGCTTGCTTTTAGTGGGGGGGGAAAAGATACCATGGCAGGGTCCCATTCTCTTTGTTGCAAAGAGGTAACTCACGAGTGTGGCAGATTACTTGGAGCCACAGGTTTTTGAGATTGCTCCATGATGGGCATTGTTCTGCACATTTTGTGTTTAGGATGTTGCCTCAGTCTGAAAGTAATAGTGGCCTGGGCCTGGTCTGGAGTCAGCAGTCTGGAGGCCCCCTGGGCCTGCCCACTCTGGCTGACTCTACCTACTGCCCCAGAATCCCAGCAGGTGAGGCCACTTTGGAGACGCCCACGCCTCTCAGGCCCAAGCATGTGCAGGTATGGCTGATATTCAGCCTGCAAAAATCACAGTTGCAACGACAGGGCTGTTGCCATAGTAACAAGGTTGCTTTTACAGACTCTGCTTCTAAACTACACTGAGAGGGAAGGAAGGCCAGCTTATCACCAGGTGCCCCATGGCCCCTGTAAGTCAGTGAGCCAGGAAAAGGCCTGCCTATGTATCCTAAATTCAAGTCATAGAGAAGAGTGACAACTGTGTTCTAATCCTGGCTCTGACACATTGTCCTCACCAGTTACTGACTTCTCTGTGTCTCATTTTCCTCAATGGTAAACAGGAATGTAAGGATTAAATGAGATGAACATGGGAAGCCTTTACCATATACCTGGCATGTGGTAAAGGTTAGCTAATCTTAAATCACCTCAGCCTTGTCCGCTGTCCTCGGCAGAAGTCTGACAGGAAACCCAGAGCTGTCCTTACACGGTGACGCCTGTTGAGGTGCAGGACAGTTTTTCCGGGCAGTCAACAGAGCCAGCCTGAGATGGGGGAGGGGAACAGTCTTCAGCAGCTCCTGTGGCAAGGCCAGGGGCTTCCTGGATGCCCAGTGGCTGGCACAGCTCCCACCCTGGACATGCCATTGGTCTTCTCTGCTGATGTTGGGTGGGCATGCAGCCAGATTATGGTCCTTTGCCAGAGGTGTTATCTTGGAAATTGTAGCCCACAGGGACAAGCTGGTTCAACCTGCATCCCTTCATTCATTTATTCCTTCAAGCTGGGCTAGGAGGTAGGGAGTCCACGCATAATGAGACAGTCCTGCCCTCGAGAAGCTCACAGTCCTTGCCAAGGAACCAGAAGAGCAAATGGCAACTAGGACCCGGCAGCTCCTGCTGGGAAGGCAGGTAGACTGGGGCCACCTCAGGTGGAAAGCCCAGTTGCCGCTAGACACAGAAGTGAGCTGTGGGGTCCTGCTGCATTTTGAAGGCTGCAGTGCGGTGGCTGGAGAACAGGCTAAAAATGTGGCCTAGAGCCTTGTAAACCACCTGAAGGATGTGGATTTTATTCAGAAGGCCAAGGGCCCACTCCGTGGGATTTTTAGGAGTGGAATTTGTTTTTTCAGAAGGTGCAGGGTAGGGATTGATTAAAAAGGGAGAACTGGCAGTTGGGGGGAAGGGGAAGTGGTGCTCTGGGTGGCGATCTAGGGACAAATGGCGAGACCTGGATGGACTGGAGGCACATGTGAGGGCAGAGTCAGTAGGACCTGGCCCCGGGTTTGGCCTGCAAGCTTCCAGAATGACTCCTGTGCAGGCTCCTGTGCTGACTCCACCCCTTGTGCTACTCAGCTGCCACTGGAGTTGTGCAAGCCTGGCAGGGCAGGGTGGGAGGCCAGTTACCTCCAACACCAGGGTCCAGCCTGAGCTTGGTGCACTGCTTGAGTGATCTATGTCCCTTCTTATATGAGAACATGAACTTTGCCCTTGGCATAGAACCTGACACAGCACACACACCGTAAATGGTAGCTGCGATTTTTAATTTGTTACGACTGTGGGGAACAGTCAGGGGGAGACAAGAGACTTCCTCCATTCACTCAATATTCACTTACTGAACAGCCTGGGTGGGGCTCTGGACAGGACAACTAAGCCATCGTGTTGACCCTATTGAGGGGTCAGGGTCTGGCTTCTCAGAGTCTGCGCTGAGTCTCACCATCATTTGGGAGGAGCCCCAACACTGTTCGGGCCATCTGGCCTTTCTAAAAGCACGTCCCAGAGCAAGTAATCCAAGTGCAGGGCGCTACCTGGAGACAACACACAGAAGGAGCCGGGGCAGAACAGGGCCCCAGGCAGGCTGGCTTCTGGCATCTTCCAGGGCCCACTTCCTGGCTGGAGATTAAGAGGTGGCTTTTATTGGCTTCTCCAGGCCCAGCCTGCTGCCTTCATCACTGCAGCCACCGCCCAGCACAGGCCTAGTGCCAGAAGCCCCAGAATACTTCGTGGGACGAGGAATGAAAGCCAGCGGGACCGGGTTTGTCCCATATTGCAGCCTGCTAGGTTTGTGT